CTCATGAAATATTCATTTACGATGTCATGAATGTCGACCCATAACATTGTAAATTGAGAACATAAATTAAGACTTATCAAACAAATAAAATCAGCAAAGAGCCAACATCATGAAAAAAATGTGAGTGGTTTATATATACTGTTCAATTATTTGGTTATTTATTTCTTGGTCTAGTGTTGTATTCTTCAATCTAATTATAAAACTTTTTTATTCAAGTGAAATTCCCACATTTGGTTGTAATCATAGACACCTTGTATTTGTTTCACTATAAATATTCCCTAAAATGAGGGAAAGAACAAAAGACAGCTGGTTACCCTAATTGCAAGTTTGCAACATGCTTTGTTAAAATTTTGAGGATTTGTTCACGTTTTGTAACAAGGAACAAAATTTGTTTTATTATTATCGACCGTGTTTGTGAAAGGGATAATAGAAAACTTAGTCGTTTAGTGACAAGTAACTAGACCTTCGCTTCTTGGTAGGTGGTTTAGGTAAATGTTTTGGTTAGTGAAGTATTTAATGGCTCACCAAACTAATCACATCTGAGTTTATTTCATTTTATATATCACCTACCTTTTCTACGGAGTTAAAATCGAATAAAAAAGGTGTCGAAAAATTAAGAGATCGTGGTGAGATAATCACTCACCGTTCATAGTTAGATTTTCTTTTGAAAAAGTTGCAAATATAATCTTTAAAGCAAGTCGAAGGGAAAATAAAAATGGTGAGATCCATGCAAGTAATCATAATAAGTCGATCTAGTGACATTCGGATTACTCATTACCATTTATTGGATTAAAGGAGAAGCGCAAAGCAACAACAAACAACCCAATGTATTTATAATATAACCCTGTAATATAATAGCTAATATGTAGGAGTCATATAAGCAATGCCATAAGTTCATTCACGACTTTTTTCGATGTTTACTATTATGTTATAGTCTAAAAACTCAGTCATTGATTATCAAAGTTTAAATCTTAGTCGCCGACATTTGTTTAACATGTATTTTTTTTTCTTCATAAAGGTGTCCTTATAATATTTAATAAAATATGAAACTGTGTCAACCAAGTTGCATAAACATTTACCACATTCCAAGCAGGTCGTTAGTACTTCCACCTAAACGCGTACATGTTCTTGTTCATTAATATGTACTCATGTTTAGACAAACGAGATTATCGAAATATTGATTTAACGGATGACTAACATCATCATGTATGTTATGTACTTCCATTAAACTGGATCTCTTCTCCTCAATCTCACCTGCAGAAAGTTAAGACCAGAAACCAACGGTGCAATCTAAACCAACCGAAGCAAATAGCCGCGTTGAGGTGGAAAAATCGGTTGGGAGAGTTGAATTCCATACGATTAGTTGGGAATATTTATGTCAGATTTCATTTTTCTTAGACCAAAAAGAAATAGCTGGAATTGGGCTTGGGCTTTCATAAAGATGGACCGAAAATGGCCCGGCCTAGTTAGATGCAGTCAAAGCCCAATCGGTTGGAGGCAGCGTGGAAGCTGGTATAGTGACAATGGAAAGAACAAGTACTTTCACGTTCTCAGATTCTTATCCTGTGGATTTGGAAAAGGAGGAGGCGGAATCATTTGACCATGGTTGTGACACTAACTCGCGTGGTTAGAGAAGAAGCAATGGGAGCCGGAGTTGTCGGTGTGGCATTTGTTCGAGTTTCCGAATCAGATTGGAAGAAAATAAAGCGTAAGAAGTGGAGGAACCGACGCGTGGGAGGCTGGAGAAATGTGTAGAAGTGGGTCAAATAGAATAATCTTGAGGGCAATGTTGGTCTAAGGGAGTGGATTGTTAGAAACCCAGTAGTTTGAGGACTCGAGTATTCTAATAACATTATTAGTATATTTATTATTTGTTGATATTAGTAGAAGTTTAGTCATAGTCGAATTATTTATTCGGGTTTTCCCGCATTTCCCTATAAATATATACTTGAGGTTAACGTCATAAGAAATCAATAACAATATTAGAAAAATATCTCTTAGTCCCTAATCTGTTTTCCCCCCCTCAATTCTCGTCTCTTTATTCTCAATAAAGACTTCGAACATTCTTATCAATTCTTCCCCAATTATGTTATTCAATCCCTAATTCCCAATTCTTTTATCTAAATCCCTAATTCTTATCCCCTAACCCTAAATTTCTATTTGTTACGAGTAATCGCGAGTGTCTAAGGTAAGAACCAAAACACCCTAAAAAAGGGTTTCTTACAACATTTTAATTAATTATTACTACCTTTATGAAAACAACCTGCAAACTATATAATAACGTTATGAAATCCACTATAAATTACATTAGGCCAAACAAAAGGTCTTGCTTTTTAGTACTTCATTGAAACAAAAACCACTTTTGAGTGGCAAGGAACAAAAAATTGATCTTGCTCTATAGTCTAAGTGTGTCATTTTATGGGAGTTTGAGGGAATCTCGTATTGTATTGTATGGCTCATGGCCTAGTTGTTCCTCTGTCTACTTCGCAGTAGGTGGAGTCTATTTCTTTCCTTTCCTTTTGTTATGTTTTGTTTCTCCTTTGTGTCATTGGTCACTTCCAAAGTCAAGTACTGTTTTTTTGTTGTTGTTGTCCATCTTCTTTAGCAACTTGTTGAGTTAGAGAGTAATTAAAGATCAAACTAATCCATCTGGTCAGTGGCGGATTCAGAAAATTATCACATATTCGATTTCTAACCTTGTTCTTAATGTAGCTCGAAGTAGAAAAGACTCTTTCAACACTTGTCATGTAACCATAAAATCAATTCAAAATTAAGGGTAGCGTGTACGTAGTTTAATTATTAGGTATTGAAAATAGTTGGGGATAAAGAAATAGCGTTTTACTGTTGCATGATGTTTAAAATAGAATAACAAATGAGTAGCAACATAATTAGAATATGTTTGATAATAGTAGTGTCCTTGGTTGGAATAACACGGACTACCACTTATATTTTGTTAATCATAAGTAAACTATTATCGAGGGTAGGATAATCATTTTTTCAAATGTTAGGGTGTCCCGGATTACCAATTATATTTTGTATACCCATACGAAACTATTATCGGAGGTTGGATAATCGTTTCCCCAAATTTTAGGGGTGTCCCAGGACACCCCTAGAGGCCCATGTATCCGCCCCTGCATCTGGTGCGTTATAAACCTACATCATCTTGGTTGTTTTAATTTACTTTAGGGTTGGTGACTTAGTGTCATTGGTCACTTCCAAAGTCAAGTTTCCCCCCCTGAAAACAGAGACTTTTATTCCAATCCAAGTTGTCCATCTTCTTTAGCAACTTGTTGAGTTAGAGAGTAATTAAGTATCAAACTAATCCATCGGGTGCGTTATGAATGCACATCATCTTGGTTTGTTTAAAAAGTCATAACGATATTGCTACCTTTTAGAATTGTTGTGGTTGAATAGGAAATTGAAATAGAGAACCCGAAGAGAAAGATAATAACATAGGTTGAGTATCACAGTTCGCGCTCTATATTCGTATTTGTGAATGAACCGAGCATTAAAAAATGGGCTCAAATCATTGTTCGGTGACAAGGTTAGAAGAAAGAGAGAGATCAGAGAAGATTACCATGAAATGGCCGCTGCATCGCAGCTACACCATCACTGAATGTTGAATTAGTAGCAGATCAAAAAATTGTCAATTGACTATGATGTAGTATTTTGCTCAAGACTTATGTGTGATTTCATTAATTATGCATGAACTTTGACAAAAAATGACTATTTAATTATATTTAAGTAGATTTGCCTTTTTTTTTTTACAAAAAAAAGTAGATTTGCCTTTTCTTGAACAAAATAAAAGGTTTGTTGTAAAAAGGGTTAAAGACACATTTGGTCACTGAGATTACAAAATCGGGACATGTTTAGTCACTAGAAAAAGTTAATATCAAATTTGGTCACTACAATTACTAAAACTGGACACATTTAGTCACTCGCCGTTAGTCTCCGTCCAACTCCGTCAATGAAGTCCGTTAAGTGCTGATGTGGCAAACAGAATTGCCTAATCAGCCGGATATAACCCAACAAAAATAAAACCCGACCCGCCACATCATTATAACCCGCCACGTCATTAAAACCAACCCAACCCAACCCAACCCAACCCATGACCCAACCCTACCCAACCCTTCTTCCTCCTTCTTTCCCCAAAATCACCGCCGCCGCTCTCCACCTTCCTCCCAGTTCCCACCTTTCTCCCAATCACGCTCCGGAGATGAACCACTGCTGAACCCATCACGCTCGTCCACCGGGAACCACTGCTGTCGAGGGTGCAATTTCCGTGCAGCTTTTCTATGGCTAGCCAGGGTTCAGCGGCTGCAATTTCTTATGTCTGTTAACAACCATTGGCGGCGGCGGCCTTGCGAGCTTATCCGACGAGACCTGCAATCCTCCTCCGCCTCCTCGAGCTGAAGTATTGAAGCCGAAGTAGTCATTATTATTGTTAGCTGCTGAATTCAACTGGTGTTGGTTGAACATCAACAAGTTCCCCGGCGATGGAGTGGCGCCAGCACCAGCTGGGCTTTGGATCTCATCCTGATGAAGAAGAAGAAAAAAAAACAACATTACAAAAAAAGAAATGAATCGTGAATTGGGAGAAAGGTGGGAGGAAGGAGGAGAGTGGCGGGGCGGTGGTTTTGGGGAAAAGAAGGAGGTGGGAGGAAGAAGGGTTGGGTAGGGTTGGGTCATGGGTTGAGTTGGTTTTAATGACGTGGCGGGTCGGATTTTATTTTTGTTGGGTTATATTTGACTGATTAAGCAATTCTGTTTGCCACATCAGCACTTAACGAACTTCATTAACGGAGTTGGACGGAGACTAACGGCGAGTGACTAAATGCGTCCAGTTTTAGTAATTGTAGTGACCAAATTTGATATTAACTTTTTCTAGTGACTAAACATGTCCCGATTTTGTAATCTCAGTGACCAAATGTGTCTTTAACCCGTTGTAAAAACTATAGTTTTCTTTTGAAGTGTTACCTTGCTTCACAAAAGTAAAAAATTAATTAATCACAACGAATAATTTCTTAAATCTCCCAGTTCCTTAGGGAAAGCCCCCAAAAGCCTCTACTACTCCCAAAAAGGACTGGAACTGAGTTTCGCTAACAGCTTCTTGCTAACAAATCTGTCCAATGAATTCTAAACACCTCTTACAAAACCTACTAATCACTCGATTTATAAATTAAGATGGTAAGAAGTTGTATAAAACCACTTGCACTCTCAAGTTGGACACTTGATGGCTAACTCCCAACAGTTAGAAAACAAAAGAGAAAGAGGAGGAAAGCCAAACTACCATTCTGCCACTACATATAAACCAAGTCTGCAGGCTAACTCCATAGAAAATAACTCCCAGAAAAGCGACCAACTTCGCATTTCTTTCTGAATTCCTAGCTTTGACATAGATACAGCTATGGTGATCTTCAGCTATGAGGCAGAGGTGACCACCTCCATCCCTCCGGCGAAGATGTTCAAGGCCTTTGTCATCGACGGCGCCAAGATCGCCTTAGAAACCTTCCCGGATTTCCTCAAGAGCATCACCATCGAAGGCGACGGCGGCCCTGGAACCATCAAGGAAGTCCATTTTACCGACTGTAAGTAACGTTACACAAATAAGTAACCGAGCTTGTTTTTGACAGGAGTCGTGCAATTCGATTAACCATGGTTTGCTGAGAAATTTATCTTTTGCTGCAGCGAACCCGTTCAAGTCTGTGAAGGAAGTAGTGGACGAGCTGGACAAGGAGAAGCTGATCTACGGCTACACTGCGACCGGAGGGGATACTGTTATCCCCGGCGTCGAGAAAATCTCTTACCGAATGGTGCTGGGGGAATCAGCCAACGGCGGAACGATCTGCAAGCGCAGCACCAAGTTCTTCACCTCCGAAGACGGAGGGACCGGGGAGAAGGAAACCAAGGCTGCTCATGAGGAAATGCGGCATATGTTCTCTTCTATATTCAAGGCTTTCGAAGGCTACCTCCTGGCCAATCCTGCATCTTGAAAATTGCAAACGTACTGAGCTTTGAATGCAAGAATCTCCTTATTGCTACTCAAGAACCATCTTATTAGACTATCGAAGATGAAACTCTAAGTAATATCTAAATTCATGTATTTGATCGTGTAGCTGATGCGAAATTGAGCTAAATTAACAACAAAAGGAGGAGCCTTACTCAACTAAACAATATACACAATACTGTATAATTGTATAAAACCACTGGAACTTCTCCTTACCTGTACAATATAGTATATGTACAGTTGCAAATTTGCAATAGCTGCAACTAGGCATAACATGTTCTCTGTCTGAACTGAAAGCCAGTTATTACCTGAAGACCATATTCTGAGGCATGAAGTCCTTCCTTCCTGTAAGACCCTCTCCTAAGTTGGGGTTTCTTCATCATCATCAGATACGCGACGAGATCCTATTCTGAAAGGAGAAACAATGGAAGCAGCACATTCATCTGGTTCGGGACTCTGATCATCCAAACGATCTGCAGACGCATTTACAACAAACAAAGACACATCAACGGTGGGGAATAGAATCTTCATCAAGGAAAGATACACCGTCAATCATCTAAACTTCAAGTTTTCCTTCCTTTTCTTTCTAATCAACGCACCAATTTGACAAAGAATCTTCATCATCAGTTTACTGCTCTACTTAATGCTACAGCAGAAGATGCAAAGAAATGAGTTTATCAGTTGAGGAATAATTCAATATGCACCTCATTCGATCTGCACATCTTAGTCGGATGGTGTGTAGCGCCACATACATGGGCACTATCTTGAAGCAAACTATTCACTGTACATACTTCTCTTCATGTGTTTCAAAACACCAAGATTCCACTCGTGCTTGAATACGTCGTCAGGCCATAATCCATCATCCAACATTCTTTCACGAAGAGCCTCGGCCCCTTCTATGTCTCCAACACTGAAGCATCCACGTATAAGAGACGTGTATGTCACCGTGTCTGGTAGTAGCCCTCGACCAATCATCTCGTGGAAAAGCTGGACAGCACTGTGGATATTGTTTGCCTTCTGAAGCTCGTCTATCAAAACATTATAAGTAACAGCATCAGGCTCTAAACCCATTCCCTTTAGTTCACTCAAACATTTCCAAGGGTCTACTACAGTTTCGATGGTGTTGATTTCCATAGTCCTCCCCCTCTTGGGCCATATTTTGGCATCAAGCAATACTGTCCAAGTGGTTATATCTGGTTTAACCCCTTTCTCATTCATATCAACAAAAAGATCACAGGCTTCTCTCAAGCGATTGAGCTTGCAGTAGCCATCTATCATCTTTGTGTACATAACCACATCAGGTATTAGCTCTCTGCTAAAGAGATTAAAAACATATTGAGCCTTATCCATTTCTCCAGCACAAGAAAGCATACCTATAGCATTGCTACAGAGAAAGTTAGAATAACCCGCCCCCAGATCTACCATCTTCTTGACCAGGTGAATACATTTCTCGTGATCAAATTCCAAACTCGAAAGCAGTTTCAAACAAGATCGTTTCTCCAGTACATACCCTTTACCACACAAAAAAAGGAACAGTTCAAACGCCTTCTCCAACCTTTGTGCTGTGCAGTAACCATTAATCATGGCGTCATAGATGTACAAGCTCTTGCCTTTCACGTCGTTAAAAACTGCTTCAGCATCTTTTAAGTTGCCTCCAATGCATAGCCCTTCAAAGATGACACTGTATGTGTCAATGTTAGGTTGTATATCATGGTCCTTCATCTCATCGAACAGCTCTCTCACTTTTTCTGTAAGACCCAATCTAGACAAACTCGAAGCACGTATATTATAAAAGATGATATCAGGGTGAATCCCATTTTCCTTCATTTCTTCGATTAACATTCGAGCCTTTTCAAATCGAGTCTTGTCGCCATACCCTCCAATGACAGTTGTATAGTTGATGAGATCAGGAGCCATACGGTTATCTTTCATCTCAGTCAGCAAATTAGCAGCATCTTCCACTTCCCCTAACTTGGAAAATGCCTCGATCAGTATATTGTAGCAAGGCTTATCAAGGTGAACACCCATCTTCTTACATGTCCCGAAAAAACTCTGCAGCTCAGAACCCTTGCCTGCTTTATATAAGCCATGAAGAATATAGCTGACAACTACACAGTTCGTTCGCACACCTTTCGACACCATCTCGTTGTGAAGAACTACAGCATCGTGCAACTTCCCACCTTTGTATAACCCATGAATCAAAGCACCATAAGCATACACATCAGGGACAAAGCCCCGGCTTTTCATCTCTTCCATGACGTTCTCAGCCTGTTCTAGTCTCAACTCATCACAATACCCTCGAATCAAAACCATATAAGCAAACCCATCTACTGGACACTCGTATTTTATAAACGCTTGAAGCGCTTGATACCCATAATCAGAGAGCTTACATTTACAAAGCTCTTGGATATAAGTCGAGCAGGTGAAAGCATTCGGAGTCACCCCACTTCTCCTCATGATCTGGAAAACATCCAGTGCATCGCCGAAGCGACCTTGTCTACAGAATGCCTTCACTGCAGTGCAGTAAGTGTAATCATTAGGATCGAGACCAATGGATTCCAACTCCTTATAGATGGTCACAGCACAATCAGCCTTCCCAGAAGCAACCAAACGGTTCATGAGGAAATTGCATGCCCTAATGCTCGGTGTTATCCCCAACTGCTTAGCTTGGCAAAGAACATCGATTGCCTCGTCGAACATTTCAAGCCCCGCGTGAAGTTTAACCAATGCATCCCAAGCTTTTGAAATCGAATAAGCATTGGAACAAGAATCACTCATTTTTACCAGTTCCTTCCTGATTTCATGCAGTTGACGACCCATGTAATTACCGACGACATCATCAGCTAGCTGACGAGTTGGCTCGGCCGAAGCCGAGTTTGACCAGGTCGCGCTTCTAGGTAGGGAAAGCGCAGGAGCAGAGTAGTAGAATCGTGTCGGAATGACTTGTTTGACGCAATTAGAGCAGAAATTGAGCTTACCCGGTGATACCCACATGGAAAGTTGCGACCTTTTCCCCCGGAGATTTTCAATGTCGGGGCAGTTTCAAGCGACGGCCGGAGAGTCCCGGCGACGAGAGGGAGGGAGGCTCGGCGGCGATTGCGAACTGAAACGGAAGTTGTCATCCGTCTAATCCCTAATCCTAATTGCATTTCCGTGCAATACATTCCCTTGCGACTCCCATCGACTCTTCTCAAACTTTTTTTTGGGTGAAAGACTGAATTCTCAGCTTTGTTGCTCTCTAAAAGGACCCATACACCTGGGCGGTTTTCGGATCAAAATTGACCCATTGGGTTGAGTCTCGAGACGTCTGACTGTGAAAACTATCTAAGGTTATACCGAAAAAGTTTGTGATAGTAGAATATTTTGTACTAAAATTTTAGTTTAATCATGGTTCAACCGTTTCTTATCCGATTTGTGTCCGATTTCTGACATTTTCGGTTCGACGGGCCGGGTAAGGTGGGTTTCTTAAACATTGCTGGGCTAAGACGTTAACCTGCAACCAAGGTTGTCAACCCGCGGGTTGACCCGGACCCGGTTGAGCTAGTGGGTCAAGGGTTAATGGGTCACCCAGTTTAGCTCGGTTTAGCCCGGAAATATGAAAAGCGTCATTATATTGTACTTATCCTGATAAATTATATCAAATCTCATCTAACATATGAGTTATAACATATAATATTACACCAAAATAACATTTCGTACTTAGATTCAACATATAGTGAAAATTCACACACACTTATATAACAGTAATATTCAAATGTTCAACTTAGGATTCCAAAGATTGAGTTAGGCGAAAAGAAAAATCGGAAAATAGGCGCATTTCGCAAAACAAAGAAAAAAATGACACAATTTGACCTCCAACCCGGTACCTTGTGGCGGTCGACCCGGCGGGTGCGTGCGGTCCGTTTTTCTCACCGGGTCAGGGTCAAAGTGGGTCAACCAATGAATCGACCCGCGGGTTGACAACCTTGCCTGCAACAGAAACACTAGCGGATTACCACAAACCAAAACTCTAATCCATATCTAATTAGCATTCATAATCCCACTAGGAAACCAAATCTTCCCTCCCCCTATAATTAAACTATAGATCTTGACACAAACCAAATGTACTAATCATCCTTTTGACCGACTGGTAAAACCTGAAAGAGGAACTCTTTACCAAGACCACAATCAAACATCGCCATGAGTTTCTCTTCTCCCGAATCCACCTCCGCCGCCGGCGCCACTCCCACCCGTAATCCTCACCGCCGACCGCCGCATCCACTCCCCGCCGCCCCAATTTGGTTTCCCCTGCCTCCCGGCCCCTGTTTCATCGGCCCTCCTAGGCCAATCCCAATCCCAATGCCGCCGGCGATGAGACCTCCGCCGCCGCATTACCACCCACGGTGGCCGCTGCTGCGGGCGAACCCGGTGTGGGTCAATTGGGCATTGTACGCCACTCACGTTCGATCCGCCATCAGGGACCAAGTGGAGTACTACTTCAGCAGGGAGAACTTGATCAAAGACTGGTACTTGAGGAAGCACATGGACGAGCAAGGGTGGGTGGAAATTGGGTTGATCGCCGGTTTCAATAGGGTTTCGCGGCTGACCGGAGACGTCAACGTGGTTGTGGATGCTCTGAGGAATTCTGTTGTGGTGGAAGTTTGTGAAGGTAAAGTGAGGAGAAGGGGAGATTGGTCTAAGTGGGCGATTCCAGATGCAGAAAGGGATGCGGTCTTTTGAGCAGAGGAAGGCAATTCATATGGATATGGATGTTGAAGCTAACTTTTGAAAAGATGGGATGGAAGAAGATAGCATAGTGAATCAGGAAAAAAATTGCTTGGTTTGAAGGCACCATAAGAGCAAAGAAAGCACTTTCGAGGCTCTGTTGTTCGAATCATTGAATTGCGCTCTGGCTTTCTTTCCCGGTTGGGATCAGCCAAGTGCACTGAAATTTCCAGCTAGGGCTTAATGAGGATTAAGGAGGCTTAGCTCCTCTGTTTTCTCTGGGTTTCTTCTGGTTTTAGTGTAAGAAAAATCTTAAGTAATCAGTAACTACTAACTAGCAAGTAAGTAAGTAGTACTATGATATTTAAGTTAGCTTTCAATGAAAGAAAACTGTCTATGAAGAATCCAAGTTTATAGAGTGGATTTCCAAATACTTCCTACGTTTCGATGCAAGAGATTGCATGTGCAATGACCATTGCCCTCAAATATCAATTGTCAATGAACAAAGATTTATTTTACAGCTGCAAATTTTTCCAACTCATCAATTATGATTAGGGATGGCAATTTTGATCTGACCCGTTTTACCCGACCTGTTTGGTATTTGGTATGTTTTGGGGCGGGTTCGATCCGTCTCGTAGGCGGGGCGGGCATGAGTACTCTCATCGACCCGACCTGGCATGACCCGCCCCATTCTCGACCCGTTCTTGCCTAAATTACTTGTAATCTTAGTCAAATTACTTGGATTTTCCCTTTTATTATATCATATTTTAGCTATAATAAAGTTGTAAATTAGTGAAAACATCAATTTCTTCAATAATTTAAATACATTTATCATAATATTGTTTGTTTTCTTGGTCTTATAATAAAATTAATGAACATTTCTAATATTTTTCATATAAATTGCATATCCATTGGGTCGACCTGCCCCGACCCGCAATAAATTACCCGACCTGCCACGTGACGGGTCTGAATATCAAGAAATCCATCCCGGACCTGCCCCATTGGCCATTACCATTCCTAATTACGACGAACTCCTAATGAAATTGCTTATTTCACAAAGCATGATCAACTACTATTGTACTAAGCATATGCACTAACACACACTTCATAAGAAATTGCATTACTATGCGTGTAAAATGGAAAGACGAGAGATCAGACTTTCGTACGAAATTTGCTAATACTGAAACATTCAGTTACTAGATCGTCAACTGCTAATTTACGGATGCACTATAAATCCGTTCATTTAACAAGCTTTACATTAATCTACAGCATTTAAGATGCTGTTTCTCTTGAACCATCCCTTCATAGTAAAACTGTCGCGTAACACAAACGTGTCAAACGTTAATTATAAACTAGCTGTTACCTCTTACATTTATTCAAGCCAACGTTATACCTTTCTCACTTGTTCCATAAGTACAGACTCTCAACTCCCTAGTTCATGCTGCTAATTATTCCCTCACATTTCCAAGCAAAGGAAGAAAAAGGCGAAGAGGGGGGAAATGGGTTTGATAACGTCGGAAACGGAGATCACCACGGCGATTCCGGCGGCGAGGCTGTTCAAAGCATTCGTCACCGACGGCGACACCCTCATCCCCAAAATCGCGCCGCAGGCGTTCAAGAGCTTCGGGATCCTCGAAGGCGACGGCGGCCCTGGCACCATCAAGCAAATCCAAATGGGCGAAGGTCATTTTTCTTTTTGATGTTTTTTTCCCCCTTTCTTTCGAGTCGATGTGACACCTTGCTTGCTTGACTATTGATTTTTTCTCCCGTAAAACAGCGGGACAGTTTAAGATCTTGAAGGAGAAGGTGGAAGCGATCGACAAAGACAATCTAGTGTACGAGTATAGCGTGATCGAGGGCGAGGATGTTCTGCTAGACTTGTTCGATAAGGTAACCTACAAGGTCAAATTCGTGCCGAACGATGATTCGTCCTCGTCGGGTGGAGGGTCCATTGCGAAAACTAGCCGGACATATTACACGAAAGGCGACACAGTGATCAAGGAGGAGTTTATCAAGGAAGGAAATGATAGGGCTCTTGTTATGTTCAAGGCGGTCGAAGCCTATCTTACGGAACATCCCGACGCTTGATGAACCTGAATTCGGTTTTTTGTTTGGGTTAGTAGTAATAAGAGACTGACAAGAATAAAAATTGGGATTATGATTGTAGGAGCCATCTAGTAATAAGGAAAAATATTCTTTGTTTCGTTTATGGAGTTAAATTCTTGGGGAGCTCTATATGTGTACCGTTTGGACTTGTAAGTTACTCGTACGAAACATTTGATAAAATTAAAAGTAATTTGTACAAACAGATTTTTGAAGTTTGTATCACAATAAAGATGGTATAATTTAGATTTGGAAATAGTAAAGATGGTATAATATAGATTTGGAAATATTATTTTATTATAAAAAATATATATTTTTTTAATTTAGTTCCTCAACAATGGTGATAGCTCTTTGTATACAATTGAATTTTTTGTAGGGCTATCTTATAAGAAGGATTTATAGTGAATGTATCTTTACGAACAATGATTTAGTCCAGTGATAATATCACTAACTTCAACATGGATTATCCCGGTTTAATTACCTTCTTAAGTAGTACCTAGACTTCAAAACCATATTATGAAAAAATCCTAATAAGAAATAAGCTGCTGGCCTGCACAATGAATAAGGCCATACGGCAAAGTACAAAACCCACTCTCATAGCCAATCTTTGAGCTGGAAGAAGAGCATCTAATTCCACTCCCAAATCCAAGAAAGAAATTGTTCAGCCTTCATTCTTTTCCATGCATGTAGCCCTTTAATTTTACGGCCATTTATTTGTTAAGAGGTATAAATGCCGACTTAGCAGGAGAGAAGGCAGGCAGCTGCCACAGTGACCTTAGTGATGATTCCTCATGGAAGATTTGTAGTAGTTGTCTCACACTTCTCCCATGGATTGCATACATAAGAATTAAAAAATAGATATTAAAAAACCATTTTTTTTATCCAAACAACCATATCCAAACTCGGTATGATCGATAGCCAATACTTGTGATCTAGTAAGATGTTTTAACGTGGTTGAATATGGTCCAATAAAAAAGCAATTAATATCACATATCCAAGTACATCAAACAACTAGACCACTTAACCGAGTGATCAATGCATTGTAATTCTCATACCAACACTTGAATTTTTTTGGACTACACGTGTTTAATAACTTCGACTCGCAATCAACATAACTACATCCCCAAATACTTGTAATATATCGTGAATTTGAATTCATCCTCCTACCGAAATTTCATTAAAGAGACATTTTATCCAATATAAAAAGAAGAAAAAAAAAACTCAGCTACTAAAGTTGCAGCTTTTCTGGTTATACTCCTTGTGCACAATTGCATGCCTCCATTATAGGTGGGTGAACAGTACAACTGTACAAGTTTTTTTTCTCTCCTCCAAACAATTAGCCACAACTTCATTACTAATCACCAAATTTGGTTGAGGAGAGGCACAGTATAAATGGGCCATCTACCTCTCTGCTCTCATACCATTCTATCAGCAAATTCTCACCTACACAAGGAAAATCTAAGCCAAGCCAAGCCATGGCAGCAGCTGTTGTCACATTCAAAGATGAATTCACAAGCCCTGTCCCAGCCAAAAGACTGTTCCAAGCCATGATACTTGAAGTTGACACCCTCCTCCCAAAGCTTCTGCCTCAAGTTTTCAAGAGCATTGAAACCATCCAAGGGGATGGTGGCCCTGGGAGCATCAAGAAGTTGAACTTTGTGGAAGGCAAAGTCCATCTTACTCCTACCCTCTTTTGCTTTCTTTGTGGAAGCCTAACTATATTTGTGACTTTCGAACTCGATTGATCTGTATTCCGATTAAATGTGTTTGTAGCAAATTTTACATCTCTAATCCATTCAACCGATCCATTATGTATAACCTAAGTTGACAAATTAGAAGCCCGAAACCGGTCGAATTGTGACCCGATTAATTAATCATTTAATTTTCCCCTTAAAAAAATTTAGAACTTGGTCGATGCAAATCAAATTAATAGTCAGAATCGACGAAAAAGGTAAAGTGACTATATTCGTGACTTTTGACGTATGTAATACGATTGATCTTTATTCCGATAAAATGTGTTCTAGCCCATTTTATATTTCTAACCCATTCAGCTGACCCATATGTATAGTATAACTTAAGCCGACAAATTAGGAGTCCGAAACATGTCAATTTGTGACCGGATTAATTAATCTGATGGAGCGGTATTCAATTGACCCTTAAAACTTTGTAACATTCGGTCGATGCAGATCAAACCAATAGTAAAAAAAATGACGAAAAGGGTAAAATTACCGATACCACCTACCAGCTTCTAACATGATTAAACCTTCTATGTGCATATATAAGGCCAGAGTTCCCAGAATCTGTTTTCGATTGAAACAACCCGTCAACTCGTGAACTCAAAAAAAAGCAACCCGATTAACTCACAATCCGAACTACTCGCCGAAACCCAACTCAATTGCGGGCCGTTTGAATTCACCATTCCATCCTTCATTTTCCCCCCTTTCTTCCACAGGACCAGGTGGTGCTGGACTTCAGTTTGTGAAGCACAAGATCGAGTCACTGGACAAGGAGAGCATGTCCATGAGCTACACTGTGATAGAAGGCGATCCAATGCTCGCGAAGGCCGAGGCGATCGCGGTCGAGCTGAAGGTGGAGGCAGCAGCCGATGGAGGTTCCAAAGGGGAGCACATCACCACTGTGACTCCAAAGCCAGGAGTGGAGGTCAAGGCAGAGGAAGCCATGGCTGGGAAAGGAATGGCTATGGCTGTTCTGAATGCTGTCGATGCTTACCTCGTTGCCAATCCTCAAGCTTATGCTTAGAGAGTATTGGAATTCAAAGAGTTTCCTATGGACTCTTAGAATCTTATTTACTCTTTGTTGTTCTATGGCATTTGCCATTCTGTTGTTTTGTAATGTGACCAAGTCAAAAGAGCCAACTTATGGCTTCATCAATAAGCGACAATTTCTTAGTTGAGTTGCACATGTACTCGTCAAAACAGGTTATCTCCACCATCCGTTCAAAAGGGGTTCTAATACCATTTGTAACATTTCAAATATTTTTTATTGAGATATTGTGTGCTTTCGCATGTAGGCCATAGGGGTGTTTAATGGGTTGGTTCATACCGGACCAAATCGTCATTTGGATCGGACGATGCCGAACCGAATATAATTTGTACAAAACCAGACCGAATATACTAATGATTGTGTCTTTGGTTCTAAGACGTCTTTCACTTTTAGACCGCAGTTCTCATGAGTTTGGTCCGGTCGTGACCGGATCGAACCGCGACCCCTACCTGCCAGGTTTTCGTTTTGGATACATCATGATTAAGGGTGGGCAATGATCTGGTTTACACTAGACCTGATTTTACAAAATCAATATTTGGATTGAGTCGAGTCAAATAGATTTTGATAAGCATCCATCCAAGATTTTGATAAGTATCCCTCCAACAAATGATCGGAAGTATTAAGGAAAAACAGGCCGAAATGCAGTTTTCATTCCTTATGGTTTATTGATCTCTCCGTACTTTGTCGACGTGAGATTTACAAAAAACCCCTTATGTAAGGAAGTGGTTAAGTACCATATATGGGCATGTATAAGATTCATCATAACCTCTTCCCAACAACTCGAGTTATTGGGACCAACTGGTTTATGACATGGTATCAGAGCGTGGTTTGTCCTTGCGGTCACGTGTTCAAGTCCTCACGACCCGCAATATTAACCGTTGTCTTTCAAGCACATGGTATGACAGGCCTATACAATCTTCAAGCCCATGAGTTGGCTTTCGTTTGAGGGAGCATGTAAGGAAGTGGTTAAGTACCATATATGGACATGCATAAGATCCATCATAACCTCTTTCCAACAACTCGAGTTATTGGGACCAACTGGTTTAAGACACCTTTTCTTTTTGTTTTCCTAGGAAGCCCTAAAACAAGAAGCAGACCGCTAATCTGACTAATATTTAGCTCGGAGGCAGGGGATGAGAGAATAATCAATCAACCATGGACTTATTGTGAATGGATTCTCAGCATATGCCTCTCCACAGAGAGCTCAGAACGAGAAGCAACAAAAAACTGCCGGCTGCCTTTTGGTCCCTTCCGTTTGCCCTGCGGAATCCCTCCATTTTTTTAAAGCAATCAAACTTTGAAGATATCAAAGGATCGATTTTTGGAAGCAACTGAGCTTCTCTGTTTTCAGCTTCTATAAATACGTACCATTCAGCGAGCCATATCTCCATCGCAAATCAGTTCCAAAGAAGAACCAATTTCCTTCTCTATCTTCTTCTTCTCAGCAAGTTTTGCCTCTGTTAGCGAAGCAAAAAAGAAATAATCACCATGGGCGTCCACGTTTACACAGAGGAGAACCCATCCCCTGTTGCTCCATCGAGGCTGTTCAAAGCCCTGATTGGAGACTCTGAAACCCTCATGCCCAAGCTCCTTCCTCAGGTCATTAAGTCACTCGCACTCGTCGAAGGTGATGGCGGCGTTGGCTCCATCAGGCTCATCGCTTTCCACGAAGGCACGGTTTCTCTATAAAACCCTACTTCCGCTCTCTCTGTTTCTCGTCAACTTTCTATGCCCAAAAGTTTATTTTTTGCTCACGAGTAATGTAACTATCAATCTTTTAGAAATCATACCTTACGGGGTCCCGTCATATTGGAAATATTGAACACCGGATCTGAAACTAGTATGCGGATTTAGTGGTACGAAATGGTTAGACTATGATAAATACTAGTTGTTGACATGTTTTAAGTCATATCAATAACTTTTGTCTCGGGAATCGATTCGTTTCAATGATTTGAATTTCGTTTTTTGCAGGTGTGCCGAGTAAGAACGTGAAGACGAGGATCGATGCCCTGGACGCTGAGAAGTTCGAGTACACATACACGTTGCTGGAGGGAGACCTATTGAACGAGAAGATCGAGAGCATCTCTTACGAGGTGGTGTTTGCCCCTGGAACCGACGGAGGAACCATAGCGAAGATCAAGACCACCTACACCACCAAGGGCGACGAGGCGCCGACGGAGGAGGAGCTCAATAAGGGGAAAGAAACCGGCATGGCTATGTTCAAGGTCGTGGAAGGTTACCTTCAGCAAAACCCTGATGCCTATGTTTGAATGGGGGGAAATGAGAGAGGAAGAAAGGAGTTTGTTTTCAGTGTGTTTGCTTGTTGTGAGTTTCGGATCTATTGAAGAATAATGAGTTGGATTGTGTTGGGTGGGTTTGTCGGTTACTTAGTGAATGGAACATATTGAAGTTCCTATATATATGTGTAGTGTGTACTCTTAGTTGATACTCTTGTTGTTCTATGGCATTGCCATTCTGTTGTTTTGTAATATGACCAAGTTAAAAGAGCCTACTTATGGTTCCATGAATGAAGACAATGTTTTAGTTGAATTTCACATAATTCTTAGCCTATAATCAATAGAGTTTGTTATGTTGGGGAATTAGGGATGATTCCACCTAAACTCTAACCGAACCGCAGAATTGGGCAGTGACAACAAGGTACCACGTTTTGTTTGGGCATATGACATAGGTAATATTATTGTCTCGCTTCGTTCTCGTTCTCGATCTCTTTTTATCTCAATTTGCTCTTAATCTCGACTTATATTTCTCATGTTTTGACTTTTATTGTAACACATTTCACTCAGCTAAACTTTGACTAAGAGAAGAAAAAGGGTTGAACTATTCTTATCACCAAATGGGCGCCATTAATTACACTAGGGTCGTCCAATGAATAGTTGAGAGGCCATATTCTAAACTGAAACGTGGTCCAATTTTCTGGAGTATGATCAAATAAAAAATGGTCATAGCACAATTATTTAAACAAACCAAATAGCACGAGAGAGACCTATGATTCATATAGAAAAAAACCAACCTCAACCAACAAAACATATTTTTCTGGTAGAATGAGAGGGTTATTTAAAAAAAACTCCGAGTTTGTTCATAATTAAGATGGAGCAGTGCAAAAATGAGCAACCTCTCGTAAAATAATTATGACGTACCCAAAAGTAGGGGTGGGCATTGGGTGGGTCGGGTGGATTTTGACCATAAAATGCACCCACCCGCGCTTAAACGGATTGATAATTTTTAACCCACCACCCACCCACATTTAGTCTCGGGTTGGGTCGGGCGGATGGTGGATGATGCGGGTGGGTTTGTGGGTTCACCCACATCACAATGTATATAATATAAAGGAATCAACTTGACATGATAATAGGCGAAGAGAATCATCGAGGGAAACAAGAAGTTGAAATAGGGCGAAAAATGTCGAATTAGTTCTTAAATTGGATAGAAATTCTATTATGAAAGAGTTTTCTACATATTGAGATGATTATTAGGTGCAAGGAACTAAGGAAAATAATTCCACAAAGGAAAGAGCGGTGATCTAGACACAAGAATTAGAGGAAAAAGTAAAGGGAAGAAGAGGGGATCTCTATTTGGAAGGTTGGCTTTGAGGTTCAAACTCCAGGAGCAGTCCGAGTTTATATCTAACGTCTCCACTCTCCTCTCTCTAGCGCCAACGACTTTGATCTTTTTGCTGTTGGGTTGAGCGGGTCACCCGCACACTCACCCACAACCCACCCACCACCCGGCGGATGGCTCCCAGCGCAACCCGTCACCCACCCACAGACCCACCCACTTAACGAAATTCGGGTCAAATGCGGGTGGGTCGGCCCAAACCCGCGGATGATCCGCCCGCATGCCCAGCCCTACCCAAAAGTAAAACCATTCGGAAAATCGATTCAAAGCAAATAATCGCTTTGTCAGAAACAGGGGCAGGCAGGAATGCACAATTCTCTTCTCTCTTCCCTTGTTCCTCTTGTTTGAAAAGAACTCTCACAGTCTCACCTCGATATATCGTCCAAAATATAGTTGCCACAGTTTCACGGCCACCTTAAGCTGAACACACCTTGTTCAATTGAAGAACTAATCCCAAATTCCGAATATTACAGCCAGGCGGCAGGGGAGAGACAGAGAACAATCATCAATCACCACGACACAGCTCTGACTGAGAAGCAACCAAAACTGCCGGCCGATTCCTTCCATCTGCACCTGCGGAATCCCTCCCTTGTTTAATAGCAACCAAAATTTGGTGATATCAATGAACTATTGGCGCAATCCGAGTGAACTCTCTGTTTTCAGTCTCTATAAATACACCACACCACCATTTTCAATTCATATCACCATCGCAAATCAGTTCCAAACAACACTCAAAATCATTTCCTTCTTCGCCGCAACCATTTTTCTCACCTAAATCAATCATGGGTGTCCACGTTTACGCAGAGGAGAACACATCCCCTGTTGCTCCATCGAGGCTGTTCAAAGCCCTGATTGGCGACTCTGAAACCCTCATGCCCAAGCTCCTTCCTCAGGTCGTCAAGTCCATCTCGCTCCTCGAAGGCGATGGCGGCGTTGGCTCCATCAAGCTCCTCACTTTCCAAGAAGGCACGGTTTCTCTCTTAACAAACCCTAGCTCTACCTACATTGCTCTTTCTGTGCCTTTATTATTTAACTCATCACAATGTTCAAAGCCATATCCACTGGGACCACATTGTGGGATCAGTTCATCTTGATAACTCGAGTTTTTTATGTCTGTGTGCAGGGGTGCCGAGCAAGAGCGTGAAGACAAGGGTGGATGCCACGGATGCGGAGAAGTTCACTCACAAGTACACGCTGCTGGAGGGAGACCTGTTGAACGAGAAGATCGAGAGCATTTCGTACGAGATGGAGTTTGCCCCTGGACCCGACGGGGGAACCATCGGGAAGATCAAGGCCACCTACGTTACCAAGGGCGAGGGGCCGCCGACCGAGGAGGAGCGCAAGAAAGGGAAAGAAACCAGCTTGGCCATGTTCAAGGTTGTGGAAGGTTACCTGCAGCAAAACCCAGATGCCTACGTTTGAAGAAGGAAAGGAAATTAGAGAAAGAAAACGGTTTGGTTGAGTTTGTTTTTCGGAGTTTCGGATCTTAATGAAGAATAACGGTTGTGGGTCGGGGGTTTTTTTTTTCTTGCTTCTTCTTTTCAGTTTGGTTTGTCTTATGAATTATGACCATTCATCCCCACATTCACTGGTGAGGAGTGTCTGGTTTGTAATGCTATTATACTAGTCGGTTGTACTTGTTGAATCACACATTAAAATTCAACTTGATACACCTTATAATAATTTGTTATGGTCTACCCGTCAATTTTTTGTTGCCAATTCCATTACTACATTATGTCTACAACTAAACCATCTCAGTAACATCCAACTATGTCATTTTAAATATATATAAATATATTCAATTTAAATAATAATATTTATAATTTTGTTTGGACACAATTTCATTTTGTTATTATGCAAAAAGATATGTATTCACTTTCATTTCGCACACAATTCATCTTCAATTCTAATGGAACCATACATATTTCAATAACCTGCCGTAAAGTGCGGGCCAATTATCGAGTTATAATAATTGAGATAGAAAACCCGTTTCCTTAGAAATCGTGCCAATTATCGACTCAAGCTCAACCCAATTTCTCAATTTCAAATCCTATTCCATAAAATTTTGGTGCTATTCGGATTTTGGAATGAAAATAAAAAGAGAAATGTAACTATATTGCTTGTTTTCTCTTCCCCCCTTGTTTAGGAAGATTATTGTAACACCTTAGCCAAATCCCACATTGACAAAGCATGGGAGAGATTCATGGTTCATAAGTAAGAAACCGACCTTAACTAATAAGATGCATTTTGGGGGTGAAATGGAGGAGTTCCTGTGAGAACTCTGAAGTTAAACGTGCTCAGTGTGGAGTATAACAACAATGAGTGACCTTATGGGAAGTCATCTTGAATTGCACCCCAAGTCAAAAACAATGAGGGTCGAGGTCCAAAGCAGACAATATCTTGCTTGGGAAAAGGTTCAAGATGTTACAAGTGATATCAGAGCCTCTTCGCGTCCCTCTAGAACGATGGTGGGGCAAACCTCAACGAGGGCGTTGAGTCCCAATGGAGGGTGTATGTAACACATTAGGCAAATCTCACATTGACAAAACACGGGAGAGATTCATGGTTCATAAGTAAGAAACCGACCTTAACTGATAAGACGCGTTTTGGGGTGAAATGGAGGAGTTCCTGTGAGAACTCCGAAGTTAAACGTGCTTAGTGTGGAGAACAACAAGGATGTGTGACCTTATGAGAAGTCACCTTGAATTGCACCCCAAGTCAAAAACCGTGAGGGTCGAGGCCCAAAGCGAACAATATCTTGCTCGGAAAAATGTTCGGGATGTTACAATTATCTTCTATTTTTTTTTATTCATTTCGTTCATAAAAATCTCTCATGAGGTATCGAAATCCAAATCGGCCAAAACATAGTTGCCACAATTTAATAGCAAACCCTTGTCTAACAAGTGAACCTTGTTTCAACTATCAATTGACCTCTCTCTCATAGAAACGGTAACATTTTAGGTGTTTTTTGCTAATGGGATTTGGATGTTGTATTTGATTTCCAAATACCACCATCGTGTTTTTTTTTGGTCCAAAGTCATTATTTGTTAAGGTATGCAAATTCGTAGGGCCCACAGACCTGGACCATTTTTTTAGTTCCAAATCTGTGGACCCCACGTATTTGCAATACCACATTTCATTTGGTATTTGCATATATCATATTATGGAAGGCAAATTTTTGAGATCCAAACACCAAATGAACTTAAATTCATGATAAAAATTCAACTAAACAAACAATGTTATCTTTCAAATACAAAATACAACAATCCATCATAAATACAAAGGTTTTCAAAACTCAAAACCTTCATTTTCTAATCCAACAAGCAAACAAGACGAATCTCACATCGACAAAGCACGTGAGATATTCATAATTCATAAGTAAGAAAACGATCTTAACTGAGAAGACGCCTTTTGGGGTGGAATGAAGGAGTTATTGTGAGAGTTTCAAAGTTAAACGTGTTCGGCGTGGAGCACCACAAAAATGGTGGCCTTATGGCAAATCACCTTGATATGCAACCCAAATCGAAATTCATGAGAGTCGTATCCCAAAGCGGACATTATCTTGCTGAGAAAAGGTTCGGGATGCTACAAGTATACTAGAGCCTCTCTGCATCTCTCTTGAACGATAGTGGAACAAATCTCAACGAGTACGTTGAGTCACAAAGGGGGTGTATGTAACACGTTAGTTGAATTCCACATCGATAAAGTTCCATGATTGATAAGGAAGAAATCGCCTTTAACTGATAAGACACATTTTAGGGTAAAATTGAGAAGTTCTTGTGAAGGCTCGCAAGTTACCTTAATATGCTTTACAAATTGAAATTTGTGAGCATCGTCTCTCTTAACGAACTATATCTTGTCAGAAAAGATTCGGGATATTATTTATTTATTTTTTTTTTTTTTTGGGTCAGGAGCTCCTTTATATGCCTTTTCCAACAAGAAGCAGAGCACTATCCGGATAATACAGCCAGGAGGCAGGGGAAAGAACAATCATCAATCACCATGCGAGAGGTTTGACTGAGAAGCAACAAAAACTGCCGGCTGCCTTTCGATTCCTTCCGTTTTCCCGGCGGAATCCCACCCTTTTTATATAGTAATCAAATCTGGCAATATCGATGGATTATCGGAGCAATCCAAGTGAGCTCTCTGTTTTCAGTCTCTATAAATACACACCATTCAATTCATATCTCCATCGCAAATCAGTTCCACAGAACACTCAAAACATTTCTCACTTCAAGAAGAAAAACAGAAATCAATCATGGGTGTCCACGTTTACGCAGAGGAGAACACATCCCCTGTTGCTCCATCGAGGCTGTTCAAAGCCCTGATTGGAGACTCTGAAACCCTCATGCCCAAGCTCCTTCCTCAGGTCGTTAAGTCCATCTCGCTCCTCGAAGGTGATGGCGGCGTTGGATCCATCAGGCTCCTCACCTTCCAAGAAGGCACGGTTTCTCTAACAAACCCTAGCTCTAGCTACATTGCTCTTTCTGTACCTTTATTATTTAATTCATCACCATGTTCAAGCCTTATCCAATAGTACAGTTCATCTTGATAACTCGAGTTTTCGTATCTGTGCAGGGGTGCCGAGTAAAAACGTAAAAACAAGGGTGGATGCCACGGATGCGGAAAAGTTGACTCACAAGTACACATTGCTGGAGGCAATGCAGTCAAAATCGCGCTTTAAAACTTAAAAGCTTACGCTTTTACCTTTTTGGGTCACCACAACGTTTCTAAGTAGAATCATGATTTTCCCTTACAAAATGTAGTCAAAATCTACGTTTTAAAACTTAAAAGCTTACGATTTTACGCTTCTAGGTCACCAAACCGCTTCTAGGTAGAATCACGCTTTTTACTGCATTGGCTGGAGGGAGACCTGTTGAACGAGAAGATGGAGAGCATTTCGTACGAGATGGAGTTTTCCCCTGGACCCGACGGAGGAACCATCGGGAAGATCAAGGCCACCTACGTCACCAAGGGCGACGAGCCGCCGACTGAGGAGGATCGCAAGAAAGGGAAAGAAATAAGCTTGGCCATGTTCAAGGTTGTGGAAGGTTACCTGCAGCAAAACCCAGATGCCTACGTTTGAAGAAAAACAAATGAGAGGAAAGAAAAATGGTTTGGTTAAGTTTGTTTGAAAGAGTTTCGGATCTTAATGAAGAATAAGAGTTGTGGGTTGGGTTTTTTTCTTGCTTCTTCTTTTCAGGTTGGTTGGTTTGTCTTATGAATTATAATCATTCCTCACCGTCAAAAGTGAGGAATGTATGGTTTAATAGTATCCTATTTTACTTGTGGTCGGTTGTAATTGTTGAGTTATACATCAAAATTCAGCTTGGTACACCTTATAATAATTTGTTATGGTCTCCGTATCGTTTTCTGTTGGTGATTAATTACTATATTATGTCTACAACTATGATTCTATTTCGTATAAAATGAAATCAATCCTCTCAATCGCATCCAACTATGTCATTTGGGAATTGTTCGTGCCCGGAAACTAGGCGACCCGAACTTTCGCACGTGACCGGCCTTGCGCGCTCCACCCTGCACACTGCACGGCTAAACTGAGTCCGGGGCGGGACTCGTTAGCACTCCAACGCCCAAGTCAGAGACCCTTTCTAGAGAGAGAAGTGAATAGTAATTTTAGAGAGAAGTTCCAACCTGAGTAAATGAGGTTCACCAACTCCCCTTTTATACCTCGGGTCTGGCCGACCGACATCCCCGTCTCCCGCCTGTCGTCAGACCCGCATTAAATGTGCCGTACGACCAGGTCCCATGCGCCTCGACCACCTGACACCGTGCCCAGTCATTCGAGGCGCATGACGTCAGGTGGTCCTTCCTCCGTACCCTCCTTCCCGTTGTAACTCCTTGTCGCATGCGCCTGGTGTCAGAGCTTGGGCCCCACTTGGCCTGGTGCTCCTCTTTGATGAATGGGCCAACTCCACCCATGCTTCCTTGGGCATATTGGGCCATGCTCCATTACTTAGCCTAGCCTGCCCAACTTCTCACTCTTGGGCCCTGCCAGCTGGACCCTTTCGGGCCGCGGCCATGCCCCCAACAATTGCCCCCCCAGCCAGGTGCCTACGGCCCTTTTGTAGGCGCCTGACTGGGCCTCTCGAGCGCCTTCTTATTTCCCTATGCGCCTTGCCCCCCGTTCGGTCCATTCCCCGCCTGTCGCTCTCGTGCGCCTCGTTTTTCGCACTCCTTTCGGCTTCCCTTTCCCTTACCACCATTATGGGGCCTACGGCCCTTTTGTAGGCGCCTGACTGGGCCTCTCGAGCGCCTTCTTCTTGCCCTATGCGCCTTGCCCCCGTTCGGTCCATTCCCCGCCTGTCGCTCCCGTGCGTCTCGTTTTTCGTACTCCTTTTGGCTTCCCTTTCCCTTACCACCATTATGGGGTTCTCGGGTCTCCCCCCCTATCGAGACCCTTGGATTTCCCCCTCACCCGTTTATGCGACCCTTGGTATTCATCCGCTCCACGGGACTCTTTGGTTTCCCCTATTACTCGCGTGACCCTTGGGTTTCCCCTATTACTCCCCCCTAGTCCGTTTTGAAATTTGAATTTCGAATTTCAAACTTCGAAACGGACTAGCACCCTCTCTTGCCGCTCCCAGTTTACTATAAATACTTCCTCCCCCCCCCCCCCCCCCCCCCCCGCCTGTCACTCTCACTTGCTTCCCTTTGCTTTGACCTCTCTCCTCTTCGCTCTGACCTCTCTCTTCTTTCTCTCACTAAGCCCTCGTCGTTCTTCCCCTGCGCTCCCTCCATGTCGACTTCTCAGCAACCCGGGTCGGCGCGCTCGGCGCCCGCAGCTGGTGCGTCTCGATCTTCGAGCGCTGCGCCTCAAGGTACAAATCTTTTCCCTTTGGACATTTTTTTTTCCTTCTTCTTCTTCTTTACGCCCTCGACGTTTCCTTTGTGCCCCGCTTTCTCCGTCGTCCTCCGTTTCTGATGCGCCTTGCGCCTCTTATGCCCCTCTTCAATTCCTTTCTGATCAATCTGTGCCCCTTGCCCCAGGCCCTGACGCATCGCAAAGCTATGCGTTTTGCTCGTGGGAATCGACTTGGGCCTCGGGGCAAGCGCCTGGCAACGTCGCTGGTATGCCCGTGGAGTCAGCGGGTCCGAAACATCCCTCAAAAACCTTGCTCGTGCGCCTTGAAAAGTTGCTGGTGGCCGCGCAGATGCCAGCGCCTTGGCAGTATTGTCATGCGCCCCGCCAGGCCCGGATAGGCGTCTGCGGCGACAGCGGCTGGACGGGAATTTACCAGGAATACATAAGGTTTGGCCTACGCTTTCCTTTGGACCCCGTTCTTGAAGGGGTCCTTGATGCGTGCCAATGCCCGCTGGGGCGCCTCTCACCTGCCGTTGTGTTGTACTCGGTCCTCTTCCGCCATAAGTGTCAGCTGCTTGGCATCGTACCCACCTTCAAACTCTTCAACCACTTTTTCTTTATGTCGAGGAGTACCAACTGCCTCATCCTTAATAAGCGCAAAAAGTTAGGGTATAGCTTCATCTATAACTGCCAAAAAATGGGGCGCACGTGGTTCGATTCATATTTTTACGTGCGCCCTCGAGAGGTCCCTTTCTATGCTAGCGGGCGCCCCGCACCGATGGAGTGGTCGCTAGGAACTCCCGACTATTTCAATAAGCCCGCTCCTCTAAGCAGGTCGGAATTAGACTGCGCTAAGCGCCTTTCCGAGGAGCCTTTCGACCTGACCGACGATGACGCTTACGTGCAGCTACTGGCCGATTTTTACCAAGACGGTATTCTGGCTTGGGCGCCTTGTTTCTTACTTTCGACATGCGCCCTTGTTCTGTTCGCTGACTCTTATCTTATCTTACACTCTTGCAGGTACCGATTTCACGTCGGTGACGTCCATCATCCGATCTCGATTGGGGATTGGGCAGGATCCCGGGAGTCCCTCCCCAGCGACTGGCGTTTCCGGCCCCTCTGCTTCCGCGCCTCCGAGGCGCACGATCCGAATCAAGGGGAAGGCCAAGGCGGTCCCTTCCGCGTCCGCTTCGGGCGCCTCGAGTGAGGCTTCTCCCCATCAGAGCTCTGGCCGGGCCGCAGGCAGCCCGTCCGCCTCAGCTGGTGCTTCCGGGCGGGAGCGCACGCGCTCTCCCACAACCCCCGCCTCTGAATCCGTTCCTCAGGCAACGAGGGAGGAGGGTGCGCCCTCATCCCCATCGCCCACTACCCGGAAGAGGTCCGGGGGCGTCCAAGACAACCCTGCCAAGAGGGCGAAGGCGCCCTCGGCTGGTGCCACCGGGTTGCCACCCAGCTTCGCGGCGCCCACGATCGGGCCGCATACCGGCCAGGAGATTCCCCCCTACCTCCAACCTCCGAGGCGCCCGCTGACCAAGGTCGCGGTTGGCTTACCCGTGAGAGCGGCCAAGGAGCTTGGCGCCTCCGCCGCGTGGGCGCGCTCCCAGTACGATGTGGTGGAGCATCCGGCGGGCCTGATCTCCAACAAGCCCTGGCGCATGATGACCAACCTCACCGCGCAAGTAAGTATATTGGCCTTACCCTGACTACTCTTGCCTCTGTCTCCTCATTTGGTTGTTCTATATGTTTGTTTTTTTTCTAACTTTTCCCATACGCCTCAGATGATGCTCCTTTGCGAGGCCACCGCTCGCGAGGTAGACAATATCCGGCACGAAGGCGCACTGGCCGCCAAGGATGCTGCGCGCCTCCAGTCCGACTTAGATGATGCTGATAAGCAGAGGGCGGAGCTGACTTCTGCGTGCGACGAGGCGCGCAAGAGGGCTTCTGACGCTGCTGCACAGCTCGAGGAGAAGCTGGAGGCGGAACGCACGAGGGTGCGCCTTGAGGAGCAGGCGCGGCATGCGAGGGAAGAGGAGGCGCTCCGAGAGAGGGGGAGCGCCTTGACCAGGGAGCGTGACGCCCTCCTGGTGGAGAGGAACGCCCTCCGCGAGTCGGTGCGTGACTTGAAGGAGGCCGGCAAGAAGGCCAGGAAGTCCGGCAGGCGCTATCACCGTGACCTGAAGAAGGCCCGAGGAGTGGCGGAGGGCCTGAAGCGCGACCTGGATGACTACAAGAACTCCACCGTCGGGAAGAATTTTCAAGCGGACACCATCATTAGTACGGTGGAGATTGCTCAGCAGAAGCTGAACGCCGACCATCCAGACTGGGTCTTCGATGCCATGGACTTGATGACTCATATCATTGGCGTGATGGAACTGGCAACTCCGGAAGGTGGGGAGGAGCAGGCGCAGGGCGCAGAGAGTGAGGCGCAGGAGGGAGATGAGCAGGGCGCGACAGACCAAGGCGCGGATGGCGAAGGCGCGGACGGCCAAGGCGCGGGTGGCCAGGACGCCGGCGAGCGGGTGGACCTCAGCGGCAGTGACGCATCGGATGGTGGCGACGATGGTGAGGTAGACAGTGAGGAGGAGGTTGACGTGGAGGCTTGATGCGAGGATGTTCGTGGGATGTGAATTGTTGTGAGATGTGTTATCTTTCCTGTTGATGTTAAGACTTTTGATGTTAAGACATTTCTTTTTATTGTCCGCCCCCTCCCGCTTTTGGTGTTAAGACATTTTCTTTTTGTCATTCTCCTTCCCGTCCATACTTGCGGCTTATAGGGCTCGAACAATATTGTCTAGGGCGCCTTGTTCACGTGGCGCGAGGTCGTGGGCGCTTTACTTTTGGGCGCTTTACGGGGCGATGGACATCATTACAGGATAGGCATTTTCACACAAGTTCAATTTTAGGAGGGCGCTAACTGACCGGGGCGCTTTACAGAGCCCGCACTTCCACAAGTGCCCGACTGTGTTGCCTATAGGTTACTCGAACGGGCGCGAACAATATTGTTTAGGGCTCGAACAATATTGTTTGGGGCGCTTTACTTCCTATTTAGAATTCGACATTCTTTGGGCGCTTTGGGCGCTCTACTTTTGGGCGCTTTACGGAGCGATGAATGTCAACACGGGACAAGAATTTTCACGCAAATCCAACTTTAAGAGGGCGCTAACTGACCAGGGCGCTTTACAAAATCAACAATTCAACAAGCAACTGACCAACTCGCCTACAGATTACTCAAACGGGGCGCGAAAGACAGGGCGCTTTACAGTAACATAATGCGAAAA